CAATCGTCATGCACATGGGCACATCTGTGTATATCTCATTGTCATGGACCATCATCAGACAAGAAAATAGGACGAGGGGAGGCCGGAAGTTACAATGGACACCTGGCACTGCATCGACTTAATGACACTCCACCGTTTCCCATGATTTTATGCAGTACAGCTTCAAATTGAAATTAAATTGATGGATTTTACGACGAGAGGGAAACATTTTATTCACCCTCAGAGATATTTTTACAGAAATACACAACACCACTGAAAATCGACGGAAAGATATGGATAGTAATGAATTCTAGTGGCGGCACAATTTTTTGAGAATTACTATAGTCGAAATTATCGAATCAAATTACAAGTAGGAAATTTGGTGCTGGTTAAGCGTTTATGGTTTTATTATTGTGGAAAATTTTTGAGGGAGACTGATAATATTCTGAGAATTCAAATTAATTTCGTGGAATTGCTTGTTCTGTCTAACAGTGTAGGAACGAATATTCCATTTGAAACGGAACACCTGGCGAGAGTTCCTTTCGAGTTCACTCATCTCTCAATTTCCTCTCCTTTTCCTCCCGATCCCCCCAGCAAATTGTAAATATCATCATGACCTAAATTCGGACGCATTTCGTTCTGCGCAATCACCTCGATCAGCGAGTGTATGCCCTTTAGTTTCGAACACTCAAACATGAAGACAAATTCTTCAGAAAAGTCGAGTATTGGCTGAAATTTCAGAGCCAACGCTGGAAATTTTATTGGATTTCACGTGAATTCTTCGACTTGAAATCAATTTCTCGTAACATTTGGAACTTCTCCAAGAAATTCTTTGAGTGGTAATTGAGAAATAATTTTGAGAAAATCAGAGGTGAATGTTTGGGGGACTAATTGAATGGGAAAAATAAAGATAATTAGTTTGTGGGTATTGACATGATTGAATTTTTGTCGGAGTGCAGTCGAGAGGATAAAAAAGTAACGAAGGAAAAATGACAAAATGAGGGGAGCAAGTGAGAGGTAAAAATGGAGAAAAAAGAAATGCTTGAAATTCTCACCGGCAAGCATCAAAGGATTACACTTGCGAATGTATGACAGTGACAATCCTTTGTTAATGTCCATAATTCCTTGTATTCCATGGGGCATCATTTATTAAGGTACCTCGACGCTCTTACGAATATTCTCAGAGGGTAATTTGTCTGAAATTTTGTCCTGGCGATCAGCGGATGTGTAACGAGTTGATTAATATGGAATTGTCTGGGAGAAAGCTTGAAGAATAAATAACGAGAGATATAATGTCGGATTACGAAACAAATAAATTGAATGAATATATATTTATCTGTTTGTGATTGAACTTTCCACTTATTTTATGAATAGCTATTCCTATCGCCTCTGTCTACATGCAACTTTCCGTTGTTAATTTATTTGAAATTTGTGGCACACCTTTGGGGAAACTTCAATTACTTTTTATATTCCTTGAACCCAACAATAAAAACCATCAATCCAGTCAAATTATTCCATGAAAATTTAACAAAAACGAAAATTCATTATAATCTCAATTAATTTCCATTCAGTGAAATATCAACAAAATACAATCAAAAGATTTTTCAATGGATTAATAATTCAGAAAAATTGGTCTTAGTTTCCGACATCCAAATTATTTATTTAAATACTCGAGAAATAAACTCAAAAATATGGAATTTTTATTTTTAGTACATATTTTTTTCTGTACATACAGAAAATATGAATGAATTCAACTCAAAAAATTCCACTAAAAATTTCACTTTTAATCGAAAGTTCTGGGGACTAATGGATGATTGTTAAAAACGTTGGATTGGACTTTAGGAGTTGGCGAGGGAAATAGTAACCGAGTCACCTAATAAGTTTGGAATGGCGTGTACCTGAAACGTTGGTAATTCCAGCGTGAAGTGTGTACTGATATCTGCCACGAGGTATCATATTTCCGTACGAGCTTTCTCAACGCAAAAGCACGTATGGAATTCTTGGCAGTTGGTTGGACGACTGAACAATGGGCTCACCATTGGCTTTGTCCGAAGGAAAATTTAATTGCAATCAGAATTCATCGATGCATCATATGCGTCCATTTGATCTTTCACGGGTGGATGGAGCTGGTGAATCTCCATGAAATTTAATCTGCGGTGCAGGTAGAGAGGAACACCTGACATTTGATGCACTGGAAATTTCCGGGCAATCGGAAAAACATGAGCTTTCACGTAATAATACATTTTATCATAAACATTAACGCGGGCAATGCAGAAGTAATTGGATTAATTAACATTCGCGTTTGAATTGCGGAGAATTTTCGATTCATTTTCAGTTGTCGGGGGAATAGGAGAGATACTATGAAATTAAATCTCATGGTTTTTTTTCGGTGGTTAATTAGCTTAATTTGGAAATACAGAATTGAAAATACGGAGGTGATTTTAGCTCTCAATAGATTATCATATTGCTGATGGGTTACTCCCGCTAATTGATCTGTAAACGTGAAAATGCGCGGATTTTCCAACACCCATCGAAAATAAAACTGTTGTTTTAGTTGTTTCGTGAGAATAGTCGATTTTCGGCAGTTTCCACACGAGGAAAAAAATTCTGTGGCAACAGCGTGGATAACATTTTCCCGTAGTGATTTTCGAGTTTTTCATTCCAGGCGGGAAATCGTGTAAGAGACTGTGCGAAAAATGGACGATTTCATTCCATTTAAATATCGACAATTATGATTTAATTTTCTTATTTTTCCTGAATGTTCCTTGTGGATGTAATACAGGGAAATACTTGCGCCGATTTCGGGGATTAATTCCTGCGAACAGTTGTTTTCCTTTAGAATCGGTAGTTGGAAGGATTCGGAAAACCCTGGAGAATTTATTCCAGGAACTGTCTACCAACACTGGAGTTGAAAAAGTAGACTTTAATGGCTTCATCAAATAATTGATACAATCACTAATCGATTGACAAACGAGCGGATTTCTCTTTCAAATCTCTCACTGTTCCTTCCTTCGTAATCCCTTTATTTGGTGCAAGTCAATTTACACTTGCACTGCTGACAAATGTAATCACCGCTGCAATTCATTATGCAAATACTATTCGAAAATGCCCACTAAACTGATTAAAAATGAATGGCTGTTGAGATTCGCAAGATTATCGCTCTCCCGAGTTGGAAAATGCACGGAGATATATTCCTATCGATAATTATTTTGCTGCCACATTCGGAGAAGTCAATTTAATAAGCACAATATTACTCCAATTTTAATTAGCTTTAATTACTTCTATAAATTTATTTGGATTTCTTGCCAAAATCGATATGAACATGGGAAAAATTCCAATGCGGTAGTATAATTTGTATGGAACATTTTCCCTGGGTACGAGATATTCGTTGGAATGACCTCCACCTGCACGAGTGGAATTCCACCTTGATTCTCAATTATTTAGGACAAAGTCAAGGTGATTAATGAGAGGCATCCAATGCTTCAGTCCTGAATCCCCTATTCATGGGTTGTTTCAGCATCTCACAGTTCAGGAATTTCTAACGGTCCTAATTCTCGAAGATGTATTTGGCCTGTACTATAATTTTTTTATGGCAAAAAGTATTTCAATTTTTATTGGACTCATTGTTTTTTATTGTAAATGCTCCTATACAGGTTTGTTCTTCTTCTCTGACTTTCGGTTCTTCATGCACATTCACTCCATCATAAATTATTTAATAAATACCCTTGTTCACTTGTTTAAAAAAAATCTATTCCGACAGAAAATGCGGTCGAGGAAAATTTGATGGACTGACAGAATTTTTTGTAGGTCGGTAATTCTTTCTGGATACACATGGCTGAAATGAGGGAAAAATTAAGATTCCTATTTAAATCAAATTAGCGGTTTTACCGGGTGTAGGAGCAGAAGTGCAGCAAGTGGGCGTCATGATCCTCGAAACTTTGGGAAAGGGCGCTCGAGCGTAATCGAACATTTCAAGTTTGTGGTAAAGGTGAGCCCACGGAGAGTGCTCCTTAGCCATTTCCTGATCGACGTCCTCCTCGAAGGGCTCTCATCTCCTCACCCAGCTTATCCACCACTCTCACCTTGCTCACACACTCCTCGAGCCTAAAAAAGTACAAATAAATAAACCCAGCGGGAGACACCGTGACAGAAACCGGAAGTTAATTCTTTATGAACTCAAATCCTTTTTTTACGATCTACCAAGCGCACAGTGATGACTGGAGATTTGCAAGGCTAAGCCTCGGGAATCTCTGGCGGAGTCTTATCTGGTGAAGTGGAAGAACGACGTGCGGACAGGACTCGGTGAAAAGGGCTTGGCTTAGATTGTCGGGTGTATGAGACCTGGGGACTACCTAGTGAAAAAAAATTTCACACAAGTTATCCCTTAAAATGGCGTGAAAACTTATTCTACGAAATTTGTGTGCTAAATTTTTTCCGATTTCCAAATTCTGTTCTGGACATATCGAATTGATTCCAACCGATTATCCATTCAAAATGCAGACGAGGGAAGGTCTCCAATTTTCCATAATAAAATTTAAATAATAAAATAATAAAATAAATTTAATATTCATTTAATAAAATAATAAAATTAAAATTTAAAATTTATCGATCAATGAATCAAGCTCCATTAAATCGAAAATCGAAGTGGACAAATTGTGAAAAATAATTGAAAAGAAAATTCATCAAGTTAATCAATTGTTTCCCTTTCGACTTGACTCGAAACAGTCGATTTTTCGATTTGACAAGCAAACAAAGCCACTCCGAAGAGAGTAAACAAATTGTTAGGCCTAATGTTTTGGTTGTTTCAGCTTGCTCGAAGTTGAGCTAGGACTGTTTGTAGTCTAATTTTTCCAAAATAAAACTCTTGTGTTCGTGTCCGGAATATGCCGGTATCTGGCGGGAGGGGGTAAGGACGACGTCGGTATCGGCGATCGGCCGACTTCGGGTCGTGGGGTGGGGAGGCGTAGGCTCGGCTCCGTTCGGGCGCCGCACGACGCGTCAGTTTCGGTTTACCGCCCCAACCCAACGGTTGGCTGTCGCGTTCGTTTGTTATTTCCACGTGGAAGACAAGCATTATTCGCGATCAGTTCTTTTTTTATCGTCTCCATTCTCCGGTTATGGATGGCTCTATTTACGTTTATACATGCGGGCGTGTGAAAAGCTAAACGGATGATAAGATGTGCTAGCTGTGTGTTTGTGTCTCTGAATAACCATTGAACCGAGTCTAAGAACCGATTGAGTGCGAGTTTTTTAGTGTCGGGTTTTTGTTTTGTTTTGTGAGCAGTGTAGTATTTATTTTGGAGTTTTCTTTTGTTTACATCGACCTGTGGAATTCTTTTATTATTGTTGGATTACTCGAGCTGGGAGCATCGCGGGACAACATATAAGGTATGTAACAACAACAGAATACTTTTATTTTTCAGTCCCTGAATTATTTCCCTGAATTCTTATATATTCAAGGACGAGGGATATTTCGGTTACGATGCGTATCGGTGGTCACAATCCGAAGTAAAGACGCGCAAAATTTTAGCGTGTTTATTGTGTTTATGGCGATTCGTTTGTCTTTTGTTTTTTCTCACGCGTCAGTGGTACATGTCTAGTCCACACGTGGGGGGTCGACACTTGTGAAAACAAACTCGGGCGTCGGTTTGGGATTTTCCCTGCAGAGCGTCTGATTTTTGGGCGATGGATTATTTATCGAGAATCGTATGCGAAAATTCGGTACGGATAACTGTTTTTGCTGATTTTCTGGGGGATTGAGGTTAGAAAAGACCGGGGAAAGATTGAAATTGAGGGGGAATGTTTGGAGTGAGTGGAGGAAGTTTTTGCTGATGAATGAGCATTGATATCAAAATGATCAAACGAGAGACATCAATGAAGAGGGGGACGAGGAATGCGACGGGATGGTAATGGATAGTGCGTTATCAATTTCCAACGGCTAGGTCGGATTAAACGTGAGTTATATTATAGTGGTGTTTAGAGTTGCCTGGTGATACGGATTGGACTCTCTGCCCTAACCTATTTGTTGGTAACTATAGGGCTGCTGGATATCATGGGGAATGAGGTGGGATAAGGGGGGTTGAGGGGGAGGGAATAATTAAATCGCAGTTCACTCCTCACTGGCTAACCACCATGGGATAATAATCGTCCCGCTTTGGGACGTAATGACGTCCATGATAACCTCAGTCTGCCAAACCGGTTTACTGTCCTTTTTCGAGGCTTTTTTTTTCTCTCATTCTCCAGACGAAATACATTCACTCAGTGTGGAATTTTAGCAGCGAGTGGCTGCAGGGATTTTGAGAGAATAGATTCATTGTTCTGGTAGGGAAGTGTTTTTTTTCTCAATTGTCTTGTTTCTGTTTCTCTCATTGCGCTGAGTAGTTGTGGTACGATTACGGTATTTATTGTTTGCTGGTGGTTGACAATGGACGATTGAATTTAGTCGCAGATGATTGCCGTATGTTTTGGGATGAATTTTTGTAACAATCGTGCAGAGTAAAATATGAATATTTTTCTTCTTTAAAATCTTGATTGCTTTTTGCGGGAGTTCGTGTGGTCGCGAGTGGGGAAATTCATGTGTGGAGATATGGAAGGGATTGAGTCGAAAATTATTGATGATAGTCGTCGATTTTTGATGGTTTACGATTTTGGAAATAACTGACTTGGGCTGAGTATAAAAATACATCTGTCTTTCTTGGGGGTGAATTTCTGTAACAATTTTTGGATTCACTCCCCTGGCATATGCTCGAATCGTAAATAAAAACAGCCGAATGGTTTATTTTTTGTTCACTCGAGAAATTGCCTTCATTTGGCTCTCATAATTCCCCTATTCGCTGTCACTTTCATTCAATTGGAGTGTCGAAAGTAGAGAGGAGGCACGTCTGGGATGCTTTATTCTCAACTTTATGCTCTATTTTTACGATTTTTCTGGTTTTATTTTCTTCCTTTGGGCTCAATGGATGTCTCCAGGTCTTTGTCGAGGGTTCGAATGCTAGGTACACGCGATTGGCTCTCGGATTCGTTCAATGAGAGGGAAATATTCGGAGAAAAATACGGACAGGGGATAGTCCTAATTTCCCATGGACATCGGCCTGCGTTTGGGATTTCCCCGGAGGTGGAGATGTGAATATAAAAAAATATGGATTACTCTATATTCACTCTATTCGCACTCAATCCTCAGCGGTCCAGATGAAAATATTGGATAAATATGCAGCTGCGATTGAGTTCAGAAAAGACCATCTCGGACGAATGCAATTCGCAATTTTTTCCATTGCCATGAAAAAAAATATAGGATAAATGAAGTGCCAACTTATGGATGAAATGTAATCCTGTATTTTAGTAGATAGATCTTTTTTTCTAATGTCATTGAACTTTGAATATCGATAAATTTTTCTTGAGTTTTATTTCATTATCTAATCTCAATTTCTCAATCTCAATTTTCTCCGGGAATTTCGTTCTCCGCCTTGAAGAATTGATAGACATTCTCTCAGTAATATTTCATATTTTCTTCTTGAACGGTCACCTGTGGTGAGACGCGTCCATGAACGCGAGTTAACGGTGTTAATTACCCCATTGACGATTACAAGGGCGACAGGTGGTCAGTGCGCCTTTTCTGCGGAAAATTAATAATTAAAAAAAAAATTGGCCCGACAGAGTGATATTGACGTTTAGTCAGGAGAGAGATTGAATGGGTTAAATAATGAAAAATCGAGTGTAACCGCTGGACAACTCCATCGTTGAATAAACATTTGACAGGAGTAATTACGTGACCGATGAGAATGGCATAGCTATTGATCATGCGCGATGAATTTTTCATGGTTTACGTTGATTTTTCAGCGCTTGCACCTCGTAAATGTTGAAACGTCCACATAAAAACTAGGGCTTGTTGGAAGGGGAAGAACAGCTGCACTATCGTGCTTTACTCCCTCTGGACATCCTGCTGATCCTCAAGGATCATCCAATCGAGTGGAAGTGAATGAAATTCCTCGCGTGTTACATCCATTTGAAAGGGGCTTACTCCTCATAATTTTTACTAGCGCTAATGTAATTCGACGAGCGCACTGCGCACTTAGGGATTATTTTCATGGGAAAAAATGTTTCAATTTTCAACAGTCATTCGTTCATCTGAAATTTACCCCAATTTGTAAGGAATTTTTTAATTCTATGTTTATTCTATGATTCGTGGATCAATTCAAAATCCTCATTACTTGAATGATTGATTTAATGTAGGCCGCAATATTGAATTTTTTAGATTGACTATTTTTTTTACATTTCATTCATCGATTAATCTCGGAAACTATCGATTCAAGGCGGAAACGACTTTTTTGTAGCTGGTCTTTTCATATTACCTCGTAAAACTTATAATTTTTACGATGAATCGATATTCAATTAAACTGTAACAGTGGAGTCGTTTCATAGCACTTCGCTGCTGTTCAAACTTTTTATTTATCACTTCAATTTTGAAAAAAAAATTTATCGTGCAACTACATAATTTTTTCAAACCACTCTCATTTTTATCTCAATGTTTTATCCAAAAATTACGATTTTGCCAATGACGTCTTCTGAGTAGCTTTCATAACCGGTGAGGGAACTGTGTGTTTCGTAATTTTTATTGGGCATAAAGAAAATAAACTTGGTGAGTGTCAGAAATATATGGGGACATGAAAATTCAGATGAAATAAAAGTTTTTCACCCTGTTGTCTGTAACTCGTGAAGAAAACTCGTTGAATGAAACGCAAAGGGGAAATAAGAAAAATTTTTAATAAAAGTCGGAAACATTGCAGAGGGGGTAGCTACTGTTGAGCATTAAACCAGTCTCTATGCATAACCAAGGATTACTCTCATTGCCGTACACTGTAAAACACTTTAAATCGCTTGAGTTTGCTTTATAACGCGTGGTGCGTATTACCAGTCAGCAACCGAGAAAACACCTACCGTCTTGCGCGTGAACTCTCGAGAGGAAGTAGAGCATGAAAAAGCCGGGGCTGATACGAACCGATAAAACGGACTGTCCAGACTGATATAGGAAAAAATGCCTCTTTCAGAAGCGATGGAAAAAATGCACTGAAGAACAGATAATTTTTGACAAAGAGGATTTGGCTCAATAGACAGAGACAAGCGTTCGATAAAAATTCTACCACAGAAATTATCACTCAATATGATTTTTCTGTGGCGCTAAAAAAAAATATGCCGCAGTCACAAAAAATTCACGAATTCATAAATTTTTTTATTTATAAATTTTTTAAAGCAATAACATTTTTGTGCCGGTTATTATTGAAAAATGATGGAATTTCATTTGGAAATTTCACGAGAATTCTCGAAATTTGAGGGAAATAATCACATTTTTGGAATTGCAAGCCCATGACTTGAGAGATTGCGTCAAATTTATCGAACAGCCTGACAATTATCTTACCTCAGCATCCAACCTGAATTCTTAATTTCAAAAATTATCTTTCATCATCACCTGACCCCAGAAATTCCGTCACTTTTTCTTCAACGACACTGGGGCATCGGGGAATCATTACGAGTCATCCATTCCGCCGAAAGAATGCGCGAGTGTAAAAAAGTTGCGTTTAATTTAATACGAGGCCGAAGTACGGGAAGGGGAGGGCAAAAAAATATTAACCAAACGAAGAAAAAAGAAAGATGCGAAACTGGAATGTTAAATTCAGCAGTGCGCAGGTATTTACACGACACTCTGGGACCCGTTATGCAAGAATTGAGGGTAACGCAAAAATCTCCTGATGCACAAACTTACGATTAGCGTGATGCTTTCCTTTCTACCAAGTGTCATCCACTTTATCCTGAGTTTTAGTGCTTAATAATTTTTTTTTCCCCCTTATCTTCATCTGCATTTCTCCGGATCCTCGTTTCCATTTGTGCTGGGAATTCATTTTTTTTTTCTTTTCTCTTCTCATTGCACTTTCAAGTTTAACCGAGCATTTTTCCCCCTCCTATCTCGTAAAAATAAACAATCCAGGTGTAAATACATGGCCGCCTGAGGAATTCGTTGACATTTCATGTGTTGTATTTTTTTTTTCTCTCTTTCTCTCTCTCTCTCTCTCTCTTTTTATGAGTTTTTATTGTTAACTCATAAAAGTGGAGTTCTTTGGTATTTTTTTCTCGTCCTGGGGCGCTGGCGAGTGCACACCCAGACTAGGGAAAAATTCTGGCAGGTATGCCAAGGCCTGGGGGGCATCCAATGAACGGGTGGGAGGTGGGGTGAGGGGGAGATGGGGGGTTGGGAGTGTTTGAGTGAGATTCGTATGTTTTTCATAACTACCTGGGCGCCCCTGTTGGACATTCTCCTCCGGGCAATGGAGCCCTACGTTTTCTCTCTCTTACTCTCTTTTTCATCACTCTCTTTATCTTCATTTCTCTGTCCCTCT